CAACTTTGTTGTTGGGTGCATTCACTCGTTCTTTTTGTGGATTTCTGTCTATTCTATCTTTGAGACCGCAATAGTGGGCTGTAATCATTAATCCAGCCCCTCGAATTCGGCTGCTCTTGTCCTGTTTTTCTCCCCCTACCGCTTCCATGAGCGCAGCTTTGCTCCGGCGTCGTCCGGACACGTCTGCGTTGCGGAGAATCGGCCTTCTCTCTCGTCGTTACAATTCCTCAAAGCGCTCGGCTCCAATTGGCTTGGTAACAGCCCAAACCCGGTCATCCCTCACGAAGCCTACCGCTCAATGTCTGTCGTCGCGGACGTTCTTCAACCCCCGGTATTCGGCCCGGCATAAGTCCACCACAGCAGAGGCCGCGGAGGTCGTGCAGAAATCCTCCGTCCGCAATGTCTTGTTCAAATCGTTCGCATACTGTGGTTTCTTCATTGTTATGAGCGGTGCGGCAGTGGTGGCTTTCTTCATCTACGATGCGACCACTTACCGCGAGAACTCCAGCGCCGCGGATGTCCCGGTCTCGGAGTTGGCCCTGAATCCCCGACGGGGCGGCCCTAAGAATCTGCCCATCGCCGAGGTCCTCATTAGTGACAATGACTCGGATGACCGCCTGGCAAACCAAGACAAGCCGAGGTTGGTGGTGTTGGGAACGGGCTGGGGAAGCATTGCGCTGCTGAAGCACCTCAACCCGGGTGACTACCATGTCACGGTCGTGTCCCCCACCAACTATTTCTTGTTCACACCTATGCTACCGTCCGCAACGGTGGGTACGCTCGGCTTGAGGTCCCTCGTGGAGCCTGTCCGTCGCATTGTGCAGCGGATCAATGGCCATTTCTTGAAGGGCCAGGCCGAAGATGTGGAGTTCTCGGAGAAGTTGGTCGAGGTGTCTCAGGTTGATGCCAGTGGCAAGGAACAGAGGTTCTACCTTCCCTATGACAAACTGGTTATTGGAGTCGGTATGTTGTTGTTTCTGATTTGTTTTCGTGGTTGATTGCACAGACTGATGTTGACACTCTCAATCCACAGGCTGCGTGACCAACCCCCATGGTGTTAAGGGCCTCGAGAACTGCCACTTCCTGAAGACGATCGACGATGCTCGCAAGATCAAGAACCAAGTCCTGGAGAATATGGAATTGGCCTGCCTCCCGACCACTAGTGACGAAGAGCGCAGGCGCCTCTTGTCGTTCGTTGTCTGTGGTGGTGGCCCGACAGGCGTGGAGTTTGCTGCTGAATTGTTCGATCTTTTGAATGAGGATCTTCTCCACTCTTTCCCCAAGGTTCTGCGGAATGAAATCTCCGTGCACATTATCCAAAGCCGGAGCCATATCCTCAACACCTATGATGAAGCATTGTCCAAATATGCCGAGGTGAGCTCCCACGCTCGGCAATTGAATCATTGAACCTCTTGTACTAACCACCTATGTAGGCTCGCTTCGCTCGCGATTCCGTGGACATCCTGACCAATGCCCGAGTCAAGGAGGTTCGCGATGGCAAAGTCCTCTTCACCCAGACTGAAGACGGCAAGGTCGTGACCAAGGAGATCCCCATGGGCTTCTGTCTCTGGTCGACTGGTGTCTGTAAGTATCTCTTTAGTCCCTTGTCTACGCATGTTAATCTAATGGCATAGCCCGCGCTCCTCTCTGCAAGCGACTCTCGGACCGACTTGAATCCCAGAACAACAAACATGCCCTAGAGACTGACTCGCACCTACGCCTGATTGGGGCACCCCTGGGCGACGTCTACGCCATTGGCGACTGCAGCACGGTGCAAAACAACATCGCTGAGCACATTGTCTCCTTCCTCCGTACGATTGCATGGGAGAAGGGCAAGGACCCGCAAAAGTTGCATCTTACCTTCCGCGAGTGGAAAGAGGTCGCCAGCCGCGTGAAGAAGCGCTTCCCCCAGGCCTCGAACCACCTCCGCCGCCTCGACAAGCTCTTTGAGCAATATGACAAGGACCACTCTGGAACTCTCGAGTTCGGCGAACTCTCCGAACTCCTGCACCAGATCGACAACAAGCTCACCTCTCTCCCGGCCACGGCGCAGCGTGCCAACCAGCAGGGCGAGTACCTCGGCCGCAAACTGACCAAGATCGCGGCCGCGTTGCCGGGCATGCAGGCCAACCAGATCGACTACGGAGATCTCGACGAGGCGGTATACAAGGCCTTCAAGTACAAGCATCTGGGCAGTTTGGCGTACATCAGTAATGCAGCGGTGTTTGACTTTGGAGGGCTGAACTTCAGCGGCGGCGTGTTGGCGATGTATCTGTGGCGGAGTGTGTACTTTGCTGAGAGTGTGAGCTTCCGGACCAGATGTATGCTGGCCATGGACTGGGCGAAGAGGGCGCTCTTTGGAAGAGATTTGATGAGTTTCTAGTTTTCTGCTTTCTTTTGTTGCATTGATTTTGACCCGTCCACCCATTGTTTCGTTAGGGGAAAGGGTTAATATGCAGATAGATCTATGGACGACGACCTTAATCCTTTAGCTTCGCAGTGAATATTGTATGCAATCCATGATGACCTAATGACCACTGTGTTGTTGTTGTTGTTCCAGTTGGGTTGTGGTGGTGACTGATGTTTAGAAGGGAATTCGACTGCGCCACGGGCTGGCTGGCTGGCTGGCTGACTGACTGGCTAACGTCATTTCATCATTTACTCATTCCCGGCTGTTCCCTCTTCTTCTACTTTAATTGTTTAGCCTCCTTCCACTCTTTCTCTCCCCCCCACCCCCCACTTCACCTCTTTTATCCTCCCTTTCTTAATATTTGTTGTTTATCCAGACTCTTTGAGCTTGTTACTTGTGCCTGGGTTACGCATTACTCTAACTTTCCAGGCACACGATTGTTTGTTTGCGTGGCTATTTTGAGCGTCGATCGCTCTTTCTCCTACTGCTTGTCTGCCGTCATCATCGACACTTCCATGTATCTTTAAATCGAGCTTTCCCTGCCCTGCCACCCTTCCAGGCCGTGCTTGTAACAAGCCAAAGGACGGACGGACGGACGGACGGACGGACAAATAAACCATGACTGACGTTGCATGACTGGATTTTGGCTGCCAGAGAATCAAGCAGCAAACAAGAGCTAATTCCCAGATCGCTGTTCCCCGCCAAACGCCCGTTTGCTGGCCCGAATCTGGATTGCGACCACCGATAGATTGATCGGATCTCTCCTCCCCCCCCTGACTCCTCTCTCATTCTCATTCTCATTCTACCCCTCCTCTACACTCACCCCTTCTCGTTTCATTTGAGTCTCTTGGTTCGGCCTTGTCATCATGGCCGACGCCGCCGGAGACCGTGTCATGTGTCATGCTTGCGGCGGCGTCTGGCCGCGCAGCGAGCACGGCCTGATTTGTCCGCAATGCCAGTCGGACTTTACCGAGATTGTACGCTTGTACCCGATTCTCTCCCCATCTGATCTATCTACGTATCTACTTCGACGTATGCTGCATCGAGTTCTAAATTAATCGGTGACCCGGTCGCAGGTCGAAATCCCTCCCGACCCCGATGAAGAGCCGCCTCTTCCCTCCGACCGTCCCGACTCTGCTTCCTCTCCCCGATCTGCCGGCTCTCCACTCAACCCTTGGGCTGATCATGACCCCTGGGCTGCCCAAGGTGATCATGACCGTAATGATGGCAATCAGCCCCGGGACTCCGGAGGTGGATACCAGCATCGCACATACCGATCCCCGGACGGTCGTTTCACTTTCTCCACGACCACCTACACGCATGGCTTCGGCGGGCAGTCACCGCCCACGCAGACCACTTCCAATCTCGACCCGTTGTTGATGGTGCAAAGTATGGACAACATTTTCCGGGGCTTAACAAGCACCTATCAAAATCGCGAGCGTTCGGCCTCTGTGTCCAGCTCGGGCCAGGCCTCTAGCCAGCCACGGGGACAGGGACAACGTCTGGGCTCTTTTGAATTCAATATCGAAGCAGGGAATTCCGCAACGTCCAGCCAGGATGGTGGCCTACATCCTCGAGACGCGGATGGTCCGCAGCCGATAAATAATCCGCTGCGGACCTTGAGTGAGTAAGTTGATACTACGCTCCAGTTTCAGAGGGGACGAAGTGTGTGGCAGAGTGCTGATGGGACTGCAGTATCCTTGAGTTATTCCGTGCAGATTTGGGTGCCAACGCCCAAGCGGCTGGACATGGCGGCGCACGAGTGGTGACAGGGACCAACCCGCTGGCGATGCTGTCGTCGCTGTTGAGTTTCGATCGACTGGGCGACGCGGTCTATTCACAAGAGGAGCTAGACAGGGTGATCTCTCAGCTGATTGATCAGACTGCCAACCGTGGCGCACCTCCTCCAGCTCCTGCAACTGCCATTCAATCCCTGCCGAAGAAGAAGGTTGACACGGAAATGCTGGGCCATGAAGGCCGAGCTGAATGCTCGATTTGCATGGATGCTGTGGAGGTTGGAACCGAAGTGACTGTGCTTCCTTGCAAGCATTGGTTTCACTATAACTGCATTGAGCTTTGGCTGAACCAACATAACACTTGTCCTCATTGCCGGCGGGGTATAGATTCTCCTCAGTGAGTGACATCCTTTGTGCGATGCTTCCTGAACTCGTGCTAATGTTGTATGTAAAGGACTGAAGGAACAAACGATAACCCGGTGGTAATCGCCGATAGTCCTGAGCCTGTTCCGCGGCGCACAAGCAGTGCCGCGGCCAACCCCGGTAGATCGTCTCAGCCGCCCCCCGGCGCTTGGCCTGAACAATCACCCTCATCGTGGAGCTCGCGGTCATTCTCATCTTGGTCTGCTACGTCCCCTGGTCCTAGCTCTGAGGGACCAGCTCAACGACAGGAGCAGGGACGAGGGCAGGGGCAAGATCAGGAACATGATCAAGGACATGATCCGGGCGAAAGCCAGGACCGAAATCATGGACAGGACCAACGACGAGATAGCCGTGGTGAAGGATCTAGCACTGGCTCCGGGTTTACGGGCTGGGTGCGCAATCGATTGGGAGGAGGGGGGGGGGGGGGCAAGGGACTTTTGTATAGACTTTGAACGACGACAGCAGCTGGTCAGGAGATTTGGATCCGATGCGACGACTAGCCTTGCTACGTAGTAGCGACCTTACCTTGCTTGCATTGGCATTGGCATTGGCATTGACATTGACATTGACATTGACATTGGCATTATGAGTGCGTAGCCTGTTTCGCTCTTTCTGACTGGCTCACACAACTGATGAACCATCTATTAAGCAGCCGACTGACTTGGTGTAAGTTTGTTTATTTGTTATTGTTAACTAACTGCTGATGAGGGGTTGACTAAGAGTGCGATAAGATTGATTGATCCACTTTCCATCTTATCACTCGCTTCCTTGCTTCCTTCCTTCTCTTTCCCCGCCTTTTAGTCTACTTTGCTTTACTTCTGACAGCTGTTGCTTTCTCTTCCTTGTATTCTTCATCTTTTTGTTATATACCCTCCTCTCTCTCATTCCTCTTTTTTCTTTCATCTTCAATTCCAATATGAAGACCCTCTTCAAGAATGCCACTATCATCCCAGGAGTCAATCCTCCCCCCGCAGATTCTCCCACATGTATGATCATCGAAGATGACCGCATTGTTTACGTCGGCACCGAGGCCGATCTTCCCACTGCCCCGGTGGATCATGAGGTCGATTTGAACGGCAAGAAAATCCTACCTGGATTTATTGACGGGTAAGGATTCAGATTCCCAGATTCTCCCTTGTCTCAGGCTCAGTTCCAGACCCGCAGACATATGCACCTGCTGCTTTTCGGCGCCTCTCTCTCCAAGATCGATCTCAGCGACTGCAAGGACCTGGCCGACATCCGCACGACAATTGCGCGCGCCGCGGCCGAGAACCCCTCGGCGGAGCGTCTCTTCTGCCGCGGCTGGATGCACAGCATGACCGACGGCCAGGCGCTGGCCAGCATGATCGACGACCTCGACCCGCGGCCGATCTTCATCGACTCGAAGGACCTGCACTTTGCCTGGCTGAACACGCCCGCGCTGCAGGAGCTGCAGGTGGCCGGCCTCCCGGACCCGGAGGGGGGCACCATCTACCGCGACGCCGCAACGGGCCAGCCCAGCGGGCTGCTGGGCGAAGCCGCGGCGGTGACCTACGTGTGGCCGCACGTTGCGCGCGTCTCGACGACCGAGGAGAAGCTGGCCTACATCCGCAACGCGGTGCGGGCCTACAACGCCGCGGGCTACACGGGGATGATCGAGATGGCGACGGACGAGAACCTGTGGACGACGATGCAGCAGCTGCGCGCCCAGGAGCCCGTGCCCATCCGCCTGGCGGCGCACTGGATCATCACCCCGTCGCAGGACGAGGCCGTCGTGCTGCGCCAGGTCGACCGCGCCATCGCCCTGCACCGCGCGTACAACCGCACCACGTCGCCGGATTTTCGCATCGCGGGCATCAAGATCATCTGCGACGGCATCATCGACGCCTGCACCGCCGCCCTCCTCGAGCCCTACGCCAGCACCGGCACCACCTGCGCGCCCCTCTGGGACCCCGCCCTTTTGGGGAAGGTCGTCGCCAAAGCCGACGCCGCCGGCCTCCAGTGCGCCCTGCACGCCATCGGCGACCAAACCGTCCGGCTGGCCATCGACACCCTTGAGGCCTGCAGCAGCAGCAGCAAGCGCCACCGTATCGAACACCTCGAACTCACCCACCCCACGGACGCCCGCCGCCTCGCCCAACTCGGCATCACCGCCTCCATCCAACCCGTGCACGCCGACCCGGCCATCCTGCGCGCCTGGCCCACCCTCCTCGGCGAAGCCCGCTGCCGCCGCGCCTTCGCCTACGCCGAATTCGTCCGCACCGGCGGCCCCGTCGCCATCGGCACCGACTCCCCCACCGCCCCGCACAGCGCCCTCCGCAACCTCTACACGGCCACCACGCGCCGCTCCGCCCGCGACCCCGCCCTGGCGGTCACGGTCAACCCGGCCTTCGCGCTGACGCTGCTCGAGGCCGTCGTCGCCGCCACGGCCGGCTCCGCCTACTCGTGTTTCGATGAGGACCGCACCGGCTCGTTGGCCCCCGGCAAGGTCGCGGATTTTGTGGTCTTGGACATGGTGGCCTGGGAGGCCGGGCGGTTGCTCGACGCCGTGGTGCTGGAGACTTGGTTTGCGGGGAGGAGGGTTTATGAGCACTGTGGTTAGGGGTAGGATCTTGTTTGTATAGTATGGTTTGTGGGCTGAGGCAAAGGAAGGGGGTGGGGGGGTTAAAGGACCCACGGGGTTATCTTATCTTGGGTGGTGTGTCACCGGGTCGAGCATCAAGCAAGTAATACCTTATTACGTGTCAGGGTTCTGTTGGCGCTGGACAGAAAAGTGGACTAGCGTAGAAAGAGGCGCTGAGTACACTGGAGCGGACTGTGCACTGTGCTGTGCTGTACATACATAGTAGGATCAGATGAGTTTACTGCTAGCCCACAGCATGTCTGTAGCACTGCTACGCAGAGAACTACAATCAGTCCATGGTGAACCGATACTTCAGATGCAGATGCCTAGGCAGGAAACAAGGAGATAAACACGATAGTCTCTCCATTGTGTATAAAAGTATAAAAGAGTCAAGGTATATCCTGAATTCTACTTCAAACCAACCACAAAAAAAAAAAAAAACATGACAAAACGCACCGACCTTCAGTGTTTTCCCCGGAGAAGCTTAAACTTTTCTTTCTTCACTCCCCAACATCTAAAATCTCAAGTCCCAGCCGATCTTCGGGCCCAACCGCGGCAACTCATCGGCCACGCTCTGCACATCCTTGTCGCCTCGGCCGCTGAGGTTGAGGACGATGTTCTCGCCCTTCTTCATGGTCTTGGCCAGCTCCATGGCGCCGAAGACGGCGTGCGAGGACTCGAGGGCGGGGATGATGCCCTCGTGCTGGGCGAGGGCGCGGAAGCCGGTCAGGGCCTCGGCGTCGGTGGCGGCGACGAACTTGGCGCGGTCGCTGTCCTTCCAGTTGCTGAGCTCGGGGCCGACGCCGGGGTAGTCGAGGCCGGCGGAGATGGAGTGGGTCTCGGAGATCTGGCCGTGCTTGTCCTGGAGGACGTAGGTGCGGACGCCGTGGAAGACGCCCTTGCTGCCGCCGGAGAGGGTGGCCGAGTGGCGGTCCGTGTCGACGCCGTCGCCGCCGGCCTCGACGCCCAGCAGCTTGACCGAGGGGTCGTTGGAGAAGGGGTAGAACATGCCCACAGCGTTGCTGCCGCCGCCGACGCAGGCGACGACCGCGTCGGGAAGCTTGCCGATGAGCTCCTGCATCTGCTGCTTGGTCTCGTCGCCGATGACCGACTGGAAGGTGCGCACGATCGTCGGGAAGGGGTGGGGGCCGATGGCCGAGCCGATGATGTAGTGCGTCGTGTCCAGGTCGACGACCCAGGCGCGCAGGGCTTCGTTGACCGCGTCACGCAGGGTGCGGCTGCCGGCGTCGACGGCCACGACGGACGCGCCGAGCAGTCGCATCCGGAACACGTTGAGCGCCTGGCGCCGCACGTCCTCGGCACCCATGTAGACCACACACTGCATGCCGAACTTGGCGCAGACCGTCGCCGTCGCCACACCGTGCTGGCCGGCACCGGTCTCGGCGATGATCTTGCTCTTGCCCAGGCGGCGCGCAAGGAGAATCTGGCCCAGGGCGTTGTTGATCTTGTGGCTACCGGTGTGGTTGAGGTCCTCACGCTTCAACCAGATGTTGGCGCCTCCGCAGTGCTCGGTGAGGCGGTTGGCCAGGTGGAGGCTGCTGGGGCGGCCCATGTAAGGGTAGTACGACCGGAACTCCTCCCAGAACTTGGGGTCGTTGCGGGCGATCTCGAATCCGCGCTCCAACTCGGCCAAGCAGTCCATCAGAGACTCAGGAACATACTGACCGCCGAACTCACCGAAGCGAGAGGGGATGGCGGACGGGTCGCCGCTGCCGTTGAGGGCGTCAATCTGGTCGACCAGGCCGGGGCCATCGGGGGTGTCATCGTTGGTGATGACATCGGTCGGCTGCGAGAGCGCCGGAGGATCCTCCTTCAAGACAGGCTCCAAGACATGGACCGACCCGGAAACCTGACCCTGAGCATCACGCTCGAGTCTGCGACCAGTGACGCTGGTCAGGTACTCTTGAGCATGCTTAGCCGCCTGGCCGGCAGGGGCGTCACCCAAGACGGTGATGATCTGGCTTCCAATCACAACACCCTCCGAGATGTTCTGAACGGAAAGGAAGTGCTCGCGGGTGCTGACTCCGAATCCGAGCGCGGTGGGCACATTCCCGGACCAAGTGTGGACACGAGACAGAAGGTCGGGCAAGTTCGTGCTGAGGGATCCGGTAGCACCGGTGACACCCATGCGGGAAACGACGTAGATGAAGGAATCGGCGATCTTGCAGAGGAGCTTCATACGAGACTCGGAGGTGGCGGGAGCGATGAGGGGGACGTAGGACAAGCTGAGGAGGCAGGAGACTGTCAGTATGCGTGGGAAAAGGAAAAGAAAAAAAAATAGGTACACCAGTGCAGGAGTTCTTTACCCATAGCTAGTGCAGAAGTCACGGAAGCGGACGGCCTCCTCTGGGGGCAGATCGACCATGATGAAACCGTTGACCCCGGCGGCCTTGCAGTCCTGGAGCATGCGCTCCTCACCGTACTGCATGAGGGGGTTGTAGTAACCCATCAACAGAACGGGGGCGCGAAGGCCTTTACTTCTGGCGGAGCGAACGGTGTCCAACACCCAGGGAATCGTGACCCCGTTGGCCAATGCCTGAGTGTTGGCCTTCTGGATGGTCGGACCATCTGCGATCGGGTCGGTGAAGGGAACGCCCATCTCGATGATGTCTGTGATCGACGCAATTCAGACAAATGGTCAGCGGTCCGCAATCGGAGCCAGCGGGAAGCGGGGTGGGAGCATCAAGCTCTTACCAGCACCACCATTTTCCAGACCCAACAAGATATCAACGGTCTCTTCGATGGTAGGGTATCCGGCGGTGAAGTAAGCTACCAAAGCAGCACGCTTCTCCTGCTTGGCGCGAGCGAACGCGTTCTTGATTCCATCCATGATGTGGGAGGTGGAGGGGCAAAACCGAAACGCGGAGAGGGACGGAGGATGGGGGAAGAACGAGTGGCGGTTGAAGAACCCGGGAAAAGGAAGGGTTTAAGGATAGGTAGGATAAGAGGATAAGGAGGACAGAGTGAACGGCCCACAATTGAAAGGGGTTTAATCAGGAGGTTGCAGGCAGCACGGCCTCGAATGTAGCTTAGGAGGGGGAACTTGGAAGAGGCAAGCAAGCAAGATTGAGTCACTGTCGGGGAGTAAATCAAATCCCCCTCGATTAATTGTTCCGCCAAGTCAGGTGATGTGGCGATAAGATAACACTCGGGTATTGTTGTATTGTCGTATTGTCGCGGTATGCAATCGGTACGGTATGGTACCCATACTCATAGGTTTTACAGACTCTCTCTTACAATTTTGGTTATCTCAGCCCATGTCGAAGAGAAATGGATAATCGATTAGCGCCATGGAAAGTAATCCAGAATGTGCTCGGAAACTCGTGCTTCCAAAGAACAGTCATATTAACGGTGAGAATGAAGCCCAATATATTAGGTACGTTGGATAGCGGGACTCTAACTATTAAGCCATTTGAGGTGCTGGATGACCCCAGAACAGGTAAGCCGAGTAAGACAGGAAGGGAAAGAAAGGCGACAAACAAAGGTTACAATAATAGATATTCACACAGACGCCAAAGCTATGCATATATACTCAACCCAGCTCAATGTGACGCCCCAGTTCGGGAGACAGCATGAGCCAGGCCAAACAACCACCAAGAAATGAACCGCAGAAGATCGAGAACACAACCAATTCCACACTTTTTATCCTTCGCCAGTCGGGGGTTCTGTTACATCAATTCCAAACAATTCCCATCCCAGCCCCTGCATGATGAAAGGAATGACAGTGGCGCCATGCTATGCCAGATAGTTGTACAACTCAGAAAGGAGCGAGATCCCAATGCCCAGACTAAATGCAATGTGAAAGAGAAAGAACAAAAGCAGAAGTAAGACACCAGATCGTCTATCACGCATAGATCAGCAGAAAGATAAGGGGGGGCATCAAGACATTAAGACACTCTAAAGGAGGGACATCAGATCATGGACAGTGATCGTAAGTGAAGTGAGGATCTAAACAAAAGGCATATCCGTAAATCCCAAACCAGGGATCATGCACCCTCATGGGGAGATAAATCAGCCATGCGCCGGGTTTTAACCAAAGGAACGACGAGAAGAGTAAGAAAATCAAACCGAAAAACATTGCAGGGGAATAAAATGGTATATCAAATCCGACTTGAGAAAGAAACGCCATTCAATGCAAATCACGGCCCCTAGAGGTACTGCAGTTGGCAGCAACTCAATGCCCGTGGGGACCTGAGACAGGATACGGCATATAGTTGTAGACGGGCGTGCTGCTCGGAGCTCCACTGGCGAGTGGAGGGCTGAGCATGGAATTCATCTCCCAAGCCCGGGTGCTCGGTGCAGTCACGCCGACCTGGCTCGGCTGTTGACAAGCTGCAGAGTAATAACTGGGGGCGGTGATGGAGTGGTAGGACTGGCTTATAGTCGGCAGGCCATGGCGGATCTCGGAATGGCCGGTCATTGAAGGGCCACCATGATCGGGAGGGGCGGAATATGCAGGAGCAGCCAGTGGAGGTCCATATGCGCTGGGAGCAGCGGTATCGGAAACAGATTGAGGAGATGGGGCAGTGTGAGGTTCCGTGCCGGAGTCTGAGGCAGCCCGGGTGCTCGCATAGGTTGAGCCGATCGGGGTTGACAATGCTCCGGCGGTCGAAGAATAACTCGCCGACTAGAGATTGGTCTGTTAGCCCGCCATACACACACACATTCGCACACATCTTAGACATTAGTCAGGGAATATTCATGGAGCTTACATATTTGCCGATGATCTTCTTGAGGGCATGAGTCAGAATTCTCCATGGGAAGACCTTGACATCTTTCTCAATGTTTCTGGGTTTGGGTGCCGGAAATCCCATGATGACCTTGAAAAACTCTTCGCTGTCTGGCTTGGCCTTGGAGACAGTCAGAGGTCGGAAACCTTCAAGGTTTCTTCGAATGCGGTTCTTCTCCTCGACGGTGAACCGAACCCCAACTAGAGACTCAAGTAGATAGATCGTATCAACACTGGTAACGTAGCAGTCATCCTTTCCATCCCAGTAGATGCAGCTAATGCAGATACTGTTAGGAGCCCGGTCTTCGAGAGAGACTGGCGCGAAGTCGGCGGAAATCGTGCTGCCTCTCTGGGCACGGCTGAATTGGACTAGTCGTCGCTTGGCTTCCCGTTCCTCCTTGCACCAGTTCTCCGTCATGGTGTCCAAGTCTCCATTCAGCTTCAGAACGGCTTTTGTGGGATACATGGCATATGGGTTGAAGGCCGGAGTCTGACCCATGCCACTCGATTGCTGCAAGGTCGAGGTGCGAATCAACTGAGGGTTTGCGCCGTAATGGCTTGGCGAATGAGCATTCTGTTGGCGGTAACCGTGGCTGGCAACATAATGACTCCGATGATCGCCGCTCACGGAGACGAAAGAGGGACTCCAGGTGGAAGTCAAAGGTGAAGGTGCTCGGATGGAGGGTTGCGACGCTGCTGACATGGTGGAGTACTGGGTCGAGGGCGCTCTAGGCGAAGATGCCGCTGGGTAAGGGGCGGCAAATCCATTCATCGCAGGCAGAGACTGCAGATAGGGCGAGTAGGAGGCCGTCGAAGCCGGCGATTGGTCTTTCGGGGGCATCGATTGTCCAATGACTCGTTTTGGTGCTCTGTGAAGGGGATCCTCCGGGTACGACGATGGGGCCCTCTTCCGAGCGTCATCTGACGGTGGCGGGATGGCACCGTGCTCATACGTGTAAACCCCAACTTGTAGGGTCGTAGCCGGGCAATCGTTCGAATCCATGGAGACCTGCAAAGGAACGGCAAATGAGGGAGAGCAGGTAGAGCTGAAAGGGGGTGTCTCGACGGAAAAGCCGTACTGGAATGAAGAGCCTTGAAATCCAAGAAAGTGCGGGATACATTCACATTTCTTTGCGCCAAAGACGAGATAGAGCGTTGCATAAGACGATTCATGGAGGTCGAATGGGGACTGGATTTGAACAAAGACTCTTGTTCCTTCAGACCCTCTCTGGGGCGAGTAGGAAACGACCTCCGGCACCGGGCGAGACTCCCCCGTCATCATCGGTGAGCGCCCTTCTTCGTACGAACTGGCATATTCCTGGTTTCCCATATAGGGAACGCAATCCGACATCTGGCTGGTGTGATCGGCCATAGGCGATGGGACAAGTGGGGTGGACGTCACGTATGGTGCCTGACCGTAGGCCGCATATGAGACACCATCGTGCAAAGATCGAGCGGACTCATAGTCTATTGGACACTTAGCACACAAGCTGTCTCAGCCGATCCAGGGTGAGCAAGACCACAAATCCCTGCCTGAGCCCAGATATTGTGGCCCAAATGAACACTTACCGATCAAAGCCGCCTGTGGGGGCTTCTGGAAAGTAGGCATGGACAGGATGGGGTCAGACTTGGCCAAAAGGCCGTCTGCAAATGTGCCAATGAAGTGGGACTCTTCAGGATCCGACAAATCCAACGACTCGTCTAGAATTAACGGCGTTTGCAGCTCCGGATTGAACTGTTAACCGCGATTGTCAGTGGATGGTCGTATATGCACAGGACCGCGAGAGACAAGGCAAATACAGGCAAGATCCCAGCGCAACAACAGCAAGTGAATCAGAAATTATGAAACTGGCGAGGGTGAGATGTGAAATGGATGAAGCAGAGCGCAGTAATTGGGCAGCGGGCGGGAAATGTCCAACGCACCAAAACACCGTGTGTCTTCGAGTAAGCCAGTTTGAAGGTGTTGCAGAAACTGCAACGGAACACAACAGCTTAAAGAAGCGAATGACAGCGAATTTATCGTGAAAAACGAAAGATTGTCGGAAAGTTGCGAGGTAGCTCTCCGAGACAAAACGAGTGACGACACGAAGTGGCTGTCAGGCTCAGCAAGGAATACACCACGAAAGGCTTCGAATCAGCGATCAGAGTTCAATGATCAGGTGTGAGACCTTGAAGGCTAGCTGCAGATTATGAACCAGCTTGAGACCACGCTGCCAATGAGTGCTTGAGAGGGCCTATAGGAGAACTATTTCCATCTGAGGGCGATGTATCAACCTTTCAAAGCGGTCTGACCTGGCGAAGTAATGGTCGATAATTCGGGGCGGGTGTCTTAGAGGTAGCGAGTGAAGCTGTGTCAACAGAGCGAGACAGGAGCAAGCTAATTTGTTCGATTTTCCTAAGAATGAAATGAGACTCCAGACTTTCCTGGGAAGTGGAAGATCGAATGACGATGGGCCACGAACTACTCGGCTAAAGAGTGCGAACTTTCCCAGAGATGAGGATCCGGCCCGTTGCATAGACAAGGACTTACCAGGGTGAGACGAAGATGTTCAGGTTGCGCTCGTGAGACTTTAAAAGCGACGGGGGGAAGGCTGCGTGTGAATCTCGTGGTCGCTAAAAGCTTGATGGAAGAGACCTACACCATGACACGGTCAATAACAAAACATCCGAAACTTTAGTGGTAAAAGAAGCCCCAAGGGAGATGACAAGCGCACAGCGTCCATCATGGACCCAGAAATGTTCTTGGAGATCTTGTGCACCAAAGGCACGACCTTGAAGATGCAAGGAGTCCAAAGGGAAGGGGACACGAAGGAGAGGGGATGCAAGGCACCACAGAGTCAGTGGCGAAGGGAGGGGGACTGGTACCAACCTCAACAGACTAATGAGTCGGGGAACAGTAGACCCTGTCGTCCAAGAGTCTTGGATTCAAGGTGGTTTCTGCTAGTGTGAAATAAGGTGGTGCCTTCAGCCGAGACAAAGATCCACGATGGTGGTGTACGTCCAGGTCCGGGCCTCGTTGAAGGACTAACAGCGACAGAACGATTGGTAGACGAGCAGACTCCAGATCCACACCAGAGCAGCACGACTGGGGAGATGACTGACAAGCCCAATGTCCACTGTGAAATGAGAACAAACTCCTTTTTTTTTCCCCTTTTTTGTTGCTTTCCAGGAGAGGAGGGATAATGTTGTTAACAAGCGAGCCGAGGATCAAGGTGGTGACGATGGGTTACCAGGTTCGGGTCGGTATACCTCCCGCGCAGCAAACGGGAATCGCTCTACAGTCCCAGGGCAATGATACCGAGGCAAACGCAGGTTGATG